CACAAGGGAGTATTTAGGGGATCAACTGATCACCTACAAGGAAAAATTTGTAACCACTTCTCATTCGAATTGATTGGAATATGCTGCTTTGGTGTCTGCTCTGCCTACTCGTGCAAAATACTGTGTGAAAACCACCAGCCTTACTGTTGTGATTTTTGCTAATATTCATGCTACAACATAAGTTAACTGGGATTTATACCCATGTGACTACCTGTATTGGCAGGCGACTCCACGGGATCTAACACTCAGTATGAAAGCTGAAAATCCAAAAGCCTTTCTTCCCTAGATCTGACCAAAACCAGTTCTGAAAACAGGTTCTGGTTTGTGTCAGAAAAGACTTAAATGCCAGTTGTTCACACTGCTTTTACCTCTGTTTGAATCAAGCTTTCAATTAAAGAAGTTATAATTGTTAAAATCTGTATTGTATCTATTTACAGACTTACCTTTTCATTTTGAAATAGCAAAATCACCAGGCTTTTGGCAGACATCTGAATCTCATTAGAAAATGTACGTCCAAAGCAGCTTTTGAGGAGAGAGAGGCTAATTTTAATTTTGATAGTGAATGCCTTAAATTTAAATGCTAGAGAACAGAGTGTGTATGTATACATATATTTATATACTATATATTAAAATTTTAATATCTTAAATCTATTTTTTTCTAATCTATTCTTTTTATTTTCTATATTAAAACCATTGCTTTTTATACTGAATCAGTAAGTCTAAGCAAGGTCATTGACTGAGTACAATAATAGGAGAGCGATGCCTGTTTTTCTATTCCTGCATGACCTATTTACTGAGTAGCTGGTACACGCTGGAGCTTACTAGGTTATAGAAAAGCTGATCAGGTAATCTAAGATTCTACAAGTTGTACACATTCAGGCTAAAAGGTGATAATTATAATTCTGTCCTTTCACTCCGCAGTATTAAGTAGGCTCGCTGGGAGAAAGTATTTTGTTTGGAAGAAAGTATTTTGAATGACTAAGTTGAAGTGGAGCAGTTACATAACTCCATGTAAGCCTGAAATTAGGTTACTAAAGTTTGTCCTAGATGCTGATTTGTCTTCTGGACTGTTGTCCTGGCATAAGGCATTTCTGCTAGACTTTTTTTGTTGTTGTTTGTGTTTTTCAAGTTAAAACATAATCAAGGGTGTATGCAGCAGCCTAGTGAAGTTCTTCAGTGTAGCAGCTCCTCGCTCCTCCTGCTTGCTGTGTTGTACCCAGTTACTTATCCATGCAAAAAATGCCCTGTTTTGCGCTCTCTGTTTAAATTTCTTTAAAGATTTTAGCAGGGGTTTTTTCAAAGCCTGTCAGAAAGCTGATGAGATGGTGCGCATGAGAGCATCTCAGTGTTTTTGCTTGTTGGTCTCTTCAGGGAAATCTAATGGGTTTGTAAGGTCTGATTTTTTCATTTTCAATAGCAATATTGACACTTCTAAATGGATATAAGGTCAGCAACCCATTGGCTTCCTCCCTGACCACTAAAAAAAGGCATTACATTTGCCTCCTCCTAGTTCTGGTGGTATGTAGGCAAGAGATTACACGCCACCAGCCCCAATTCAGGAAGTTTGTTCTGGAGTTTCTTTAGGTCCTTTGGATGACATGGTGTGGTTCCATCACCTCTTAGCACCCTAAGCACACAGCTTCCTGTCTGACCCTATGAAAACGGAAATGATTTGCTTGTATCTGCTCCACCTCTGGTCTGGTTGTGATCTGAATTATCCTTTTACGTGCCTGTAACCCTCATCGCTTCCTGCAGAAACCTGATTGTGCCATTGATTACTTTTGGGTTGCTTTACTTTGGGTTACTTAAAAAATGCAGGACAATATAGGGCCAAGAATGCTCTGTGCTGACGCCACTTAGAAGTGTATTGGGTGGGCGAGCGCATCACCTGCTTCTGTTTCAGTAAGGTTTAGTGGTTTGGCTGCTAATCAGTCTTTCATCCATTTAACATACGTTGTGTTCTTATCATGCTTGGATACTTTGATTAAAATACTCTGCAACATTCAGCTGTTACATAAATCTAAACATATCATTAGCAACAACGTTACCTTGTCAACCAAACGTGTCATCTCCTCAGATGACATTTGTGAAGTTAATTGCACCAGATCGTGTGGGTTGTTATTTGTTACTGCTCTTGCATTTCGTACGAAGACTTCCATATCTTGATTCTGTGTTTTGACACAGCTTAGGGAAACTAATTGCTTAGAACCTACATATATCAAAATCATCCTTTAACCCTTTCATGGTAATTGTTTTCTTTACTATTTTGGTATTAAGACTTCTTATAAGTCAGCCTATATATCTCCTTGGAGATCTCTTTTTAAAAAAATCCTAACTTTTAGTTTCTTTGCTGTGTTTATAAATGGGTAGCCTAAGGACAGGCAGTAAGCGCACAGCAGCTGAGTAACCTCTTCTGTAGTGCCAAGTGGAGTAGGTGTTTCACAGCCCTGTAGAGGTGAATCTCCAGAAACTGAACTTCCTCCCCCTGCTCCACCACTCCGCTGTGCTGACCCTATAGAAAGGGCATACGTTGTCGCTGGGACACAGGCATCTGCTGCAAACAGGAGGAGGAACCAGCTGTGCCCCTGACCCCGAGCAGCCTGCACACAGATTCTTCCTTATTTAGTCTGCGTATGATCCTTTCTGTGGCACATGTGTGAGGTTAATGATAAAATCTAAACACTGATTTTATTTTTGTTTATTTTTATTATTACTATTACTCAGAGTGAAAAAATACTGCTAGCACTGAATAGTATGCCTCACCTACTGGAACCAGAAATGATCCAAAATTGTGTTAGGGTATGATCAGCCTTCATATGTGTGGAAGAAGGCTTCAAATCCCATTTTCAGGAATACATTTAGACAAGCCAGGCAGCAGTGATTTTAGGTGTGGTTACTTCTGCCTTGTGTAATGGGGTAGAATGACTTTCCAGAGTATTTTTTTAAACCTTGTTTTCCATGATTGACTCCTCTGGCTCCCATAAGGAGTCTAGCAGTAAAGGATTGTGTAACAGCAGCTCCAGGTGGAGCATCTGTGGAAACTCTGTTTAATTTCTTTACAATCTCGTTTAGAAGAAAGGTCCCAGGGGTCCCAGTTTTGTCAAGGTATTGGTGTCACTGTGCCATTGATTAGAAGAGATCTGGAAACTTTCTTAGCAATTCAATTGCACAGAGACCAGATGTTGAAGAAATGAGAAGTTGTGTTCTCTGAACGAAGACCAGGGCTGCTGCTCACAGGAGAAGAGTCTGTGCCTTGCTTGGGGACAGATGATGGGGAGTGAAAGGTCTAGCTTGTGAAGAGCTAGAGGAGGATGGGAGGTTACTATATGCTACTGGAAGATAAAGATGTTGTTGGCATTTGAATAGTGAGTATCAGCGTGGCTGGGACAAGCTGAAGCAGAACTGCCCAGCAGGCCAGCCGTGCCCTGGGCTGCATCCCCAGCAGCGTGGGCACAGGGCGAGGGAGGGGATTCTGCCCCTCTGCCCCGCTCTGCTGAGACCCCCCGGGAGTGCTGCGTCCAGCTCTGGAGCCCTCAGCACAGGACAGAGCTGGAGCTGTGGGAGCGGGGCCAGAGGAGGCCCCAGCAATGATGTGAGGGCTGGAACCCCTCTGCTGGGAGGAAGGCTGGGAGAGCTGGGGCTGGTCAGCCTGGAGAAAAATTGTTCCCCCTGAGGGTGGTGAGGCCCTTGCACAGGCTGCCCAGTGAAGCTGTGGCTGCCCTTTCCCTGGCAGGGTTCAAGGCCAGGTTGGATGGAGCTCTGAGCAGCCTGGGCTGGTGGAAGATGTCCGGAAGCAGATGAAATATAATGTCCCTTCCAACCCCCAAACTACTCCAACCCAAACCATTCTATGATTCTGTGCTCTAATAATATTCTCATGGGTACAGGAGGTTATGATTATGAGGATGTTATTATTTTCCTACTTATATCTGGTAAGACTTTTGGAGCATGTTACTTGTATAGGAAGCGGGTAACCTCTTATTGTAAAAGTCAGTTTTATCACCCACTATTCTGTAAAGGTACCTTGTTTAATTTCAGGGTTTGATGAGTCCAGGAATTCGTATGACTAAACTGCCAACAAAAAATTGTACCTTACATCCTCACTTTTATTTTTTATTAGTGAAACAGGTTTGAACTTTGAAGTAGTGTTTCAAATCATTGTTTTCGGAGCCTTATTTGACTGTTACTGTTCCTTTTAGAGATTGCATGCCTTGATTTTTGAAATCTTTATTTAAAAGAGAGAGTGAGAAGGACGATAAGTAAATATCTTTTCAATCTAGGCAGTCCTAGTGTGGATACCTAACTGGGAGTGACGTCAAAGTCTATTGTGCCTTTTTCAAGTTTATTTTTAAAAGAGTTGGTTGCCTAGGTCAGTGCCTTTTTGAACAGAAGATTAATAAGCATCCGTGGAAAAAAAAAAAGTTCAGAGTATGTAAGTGAGTAGTTCTTAATGTGCCATCCATGTCAACAGCCAAATTACAAGTGGTAGTACAAAGAGAACAGGGAACTGCAGGCTCACCTATGCTTGAAAAAGGGTTTCTTCTGCTCACAGCACGTTTCTCAATTTGCTCGTCCTCCTAGAGCTACAGCCCATAAGCAGTAGCCTGTATAAGGGCATAATACCTCGCACAGTTTATTAGGAAAATTAAGTTGCTTGCTGTTAATGTTCTGAGAACTGCGTGACACAGGTGCTCAGTGCAGAGTACTGTGCATTGGTGCTCTGTTAAATGCCAGCTTTATTTATGCGTGGTATCTTTTGGTCTTTCTAAAACATTCAGCTTTGACTACCCAAGCATGGATTTGCAGTTAAGCTGCCAGCAAACTTTTTGTTTGAAAGTTGTAGCCTTAAATGCAAAGCACTTTCCTTTTGGGCTTTTTTTTCCCTTTCTAATAACTTTAGGAGTATGAAAACCTTTTTCAGTTGTTTTAGATATTCTTAAGACAGGTCCTTGTAAGCCTGTGTGTATTTATAGTAAATATTTCACTGTGTTTGTCACCAGGGAGATTGCAGCTATGAACTGGAGATTCAGCCCCACTTACATATCGAAGACGTTAATGTTCAAAGGAATAAAAGTCATCTTCCCGTGACCAACTCGACATTTGATCAGAAAGCACGCTCATCTAGAAAAGGCATTGCACACAGATCAAAAGTAAAACCCTTTTTACCTGATACAAGTGATGATGGGAGTGAATTCCTTTCCACATTTAAAGTAACAAAAACAAAGACTCCCAAAACAACTTCCGGATTAAATTTGGAAGTGCCTGTGTTGCCTACAGATATTAATACTTCAGCTGATTACTCAGCAAAAAAGCTTGCTCTGGTCAAAAATACTGACCAGAGCAGTCAAAAGGATGAGGAACTAGAGGTGACATTTGACTTAAGTGAATTCATTGACCTCTGGGACAACAGTGAAAGTACTGTAATTCATGAAAGCGCAGCAACAGAGGAACACAAAGCTGTAGATAAAGCTTGTCGATCACTGGGGACGAACCACACAGATTCGGGTTATAGTAGCTTCACAAGAGAAAAATCACCTGCGTCCTCTGACTTATTTTATCTTCCTGGATCATATGCGGACTCATTTGCACTTGGGAGACCATCTGAGGAGCCTTCTTGGTTAAAAGGAGTATTTCCCCATGTGAAAAAGTTTTTATCACAATCTCCTCCCTCTTTGAATACACTTCATGATTTTGAAAACATGATGAGAAATGAGGAAACAATGTGTCCTTTTCAAAAAGTTATTTCTGCTAGTTTTTCAGAGAACCCGCAGGACAAAGTCTTTCCTGCGTCCTCAGAAGTTGATCGTTCACCGCTGCGCTTTGAAAATCCTGGACTGAAAATCACCAGGGAATCGCGTGCTTCTGTAAGTGCCTGTTTTTCAAAAACTGTATCATCTTCTGAGACTGCTGCTGTTAAAGCCAAAGAGGAGCTTCTCTGGAATGACAGCTTTGATAGTCTGTTTGGCAAAGAAGAGTTCAGTGAAATTCAAAAGATAACTCCAACAGTAAATCACAGTCTGACAAATAACCTTTCAAATAAGTATTTTGTTCAAGAAGATCTTGAAACAAACAAGAAAAATGTGATTACTGATGAAGAGAAGAGTATACATTTATTTGAAGATGACCACATTCGTGCTTCAGAGGTGTGCTGCATGAACGCCACCACAACCTGCGAGGAGCAGCCAGTAAGCAGTAAAACCACAGCCATGGAAATGTCAGGTGATCTTAGTGTGACGGAGCAGTTTCTGGGCAACGAAGATCTTTATGACTGTTCTCAAGAACTCTTTTCTGTTAACTTTGATCTGGGATTTTCCATTGAAGAATGTGAGAATGAAATCTTTGAAGAAGATACAAATACTATCAGTACCAGAAAATTAAGTGGTGCCTTGGGAGGTCATGCAGATGTTAAATCCTCTGAAGATAAAAAAAAAATACCGAATGACAGCTCCAGACTTGAAACATTGCCAAAACGGGATTGCAAAAGTCTGGAGAGAAGAGACATTTCCACGCCGTTGCCGTTGCAGAACAGGAGCGTGAATGATACAGGAGGGACTGAGGGTGCTACCGCTGCGGTGCCTTTCTGGAAGTCAGGAGATGAAAGAGTGGGAGGTGGATCACCTGAAGCTTTCACTTCTGCGCTCTCTGCCCCAACAAGCAGAAAAGTTACAAATGTTGAAGCTGCCAGAAGAATTCCTGTGAATGCCTTCTCTAGTGCCAGGGCAGAAATTCCTGAGGTGCCTCTTGCCAATAAAGTAAATGCAAGCCCACGTAGGCAGAACTTTGGGAGTTCAGCCGTGGATGCACTTGATTCCCCTTTAGGAAGAACTGAGAACCTAGAAGACAGCAACCTTCATAGTTCGCGCGTGTCTCCTGCTGAAGGTAGGGATGTCAGTCAGTTAGTTAATACTGTCATATTTCACTAAATAATGAGTGGGAAAAAATACCGTGTATTTCATAAAGGCAGTCCTGTGAAAAACTGAAAAGGCTGCAGTTGTTTGAAAAGGAGTTGGAAAGAGGGCGTTGTAGTGAGTTCTGGGTTTGTTCCCGTGCGCCCAGAGGGTTATGTATTGCAGAATGCTTCCAGAAGTGTAACTCTTACTCAACTTTTAAGGGCTGCTTCTCTTGGTTTCATTTTTCACCTCCTTTTTTTCTGTATCTGTACTGCCTGGGGTAATCACTTCCACACAGAGACTCTCCAGGGAAGCAGGATTTATTGTACATCTCAGCTGGAGATTATTTATTTTGATTAACAAGGCTAAAGAGAACAATATTTGCCACGTAGATCAATAAGTAATCTCCTTTGTGGGTACTTTCATAAGAGAAACAGATTTTGATTGCTCAGTTGTAGCAATATTGTATTGTGAAAAATGCATTGTCTTGTGAATGTTGTTTACTATTTTTTCTGTAGGAACCAGCAGTGACAGTGAAGAAGAGATCGTTTTCCAGAGAAAAAATAGGAAAAAAAAGAATGTTTTGGAGTCTCCTGATGTGAGTCTTAGAAAAACGAAAAGGAAAGACAAGAAAAGCAAAATAACAAGGAAGTCAATCACCAAAACAAAAATCCTCTGTGCAATTATACTTATTTCTGTTTACATAGGTTATGAACGATAGTGATTTTGAATCTCCAGTTCGTGCCGTCAGAAAACGTCGATACCCGCTTCACATGGTTAGTGAGTGCTTTGGTGAGGCAGAAGAAACATGATGCAAACCCGTGGAGTACATCTTTAAATAGTATATGTTTAAACATTTGCTCTGTCTCCAGTCAGTAGGCAAGTGTTCTTACTGACAATGTTTTAGCCATCTGGCCTAAGGCATATTAGAACGTGTTTTCCTTCCTTCGGTTCTATCCCGAGCGCTCCAAAGATGACTCCGTAGTTGTTTGGCAGAGAATTATTGTTGTAGGCAGGAGAGCTGAGCCTCTCCTTTTGTGAAAGGCAGTGAAATAACCTTTCTTTCACAAAGCTTTGAATCAAAAAAAAAATCACGTTCGACTTGGCTTTTCTTCCAAATCACACGTTTTTCTGTTCCTTCTGTATTTAATAAGATGATTAGAGTTATTGCAGTGTTTTGCCATAGCAAATCAATCGCCAAAATCAGGTGTTGCTTAAAAAAAACAGGTGTTGAAGGGTGACTGTGTCATTAAAATATTGCTTGCTTTAGTCCTGTTTATTTAAGTGTTTGTGAAATGTTCCTCCAGTCAGAGGTGTCCAGTGATGACAGCATGGATTTTCACAAGAACTCAAGTAGGACCACACACAGCAGCCCAGCAGCCTCTGACAAAAAGCAGCCGAGAAGTACGAAGCGGCAGAAGGTCAGGAGCAATTTTACATGCAAGGTACGTGACGTTAGGCGTCTCTCTCAAGACGTTGAAGGTCATATTTGGAGCAGTTTGCACTGAAGTTGCAGAGCAGATAGTGGCTGTGCTTTGGGGGGTGTGTGTGTATGTACGTAAGTGCACATTGCAAGTGGAAGAAAAGAAGGTTATCAGGAGTAGTCAGCATGGATTCACCAAGGGGAAATCATGCCAGAATGCGTCTTTAAACGTGAGCAGCACATATTACCAAGCAAGACCAAAAAAACAGACAGCAGACTTAGAGAGATTCTACTTTCTGTTCAAACTTCAAGAATGAACTGAAAATATTTTCTCATTTGTCTGTATTTAAATTTACAAAACCATGAAAATGCCAGAAATGTTGAGCACTGGTTTCACATACTTAAGATGAAAATTTACTGTGTCATTGAGTCACTCACTCTGGAGCTTGTGTGCATTTTATGGCCTAAAAAAATCGAGCTTCTGTCTATTTTACAGCCTTTTATAGGATCTTGGGATACAACTGTATTATGCTAGGGATGCGGTTGGGCAGTTTGTTTGTAAGACATTGCTTAGGAGGGTTGAGGCTTATAGCCATTTCACACAAGTTTGTTACAAACATTTGAGAATAAATCTTGAAACACTGGGTAGTGATCTTAGCCCTCACATCCATTGCCTGACTCGCAGAGGAATCTGCAGGGCCCTGCACAATAATCTTCTGAAGCCAAATAACAATTTACATTACAGGTAGAAGATACTCAAAGATCAGTCAGATTCAGGAAGCTCAGGTAGCTCAGGTACTTCTCCAGAACTTATGCTATTAGGATAGTCCCAGACTCTTTCCAGTGGTGCCCAGTGACAGGACAAGGGGCAACGGGCACAAACTGAAGCAGAGGAAGCTCCAGCTGAACCCGAGGAAGAACTTCTTCCCTCTGAGGGTGACGGAGCCCTGGCCCAGGCTGCCCAGGGAGGCTGTGGAGTCTCCTTCTCTGGAGATATTCCAGCCCCGCCTGGCCGCGGTGCTGTGCCCCCTGCTCTGGGTGACCCTGCTTGGGCAGGGGGTTGGGCTGGGTGACCCACAGAGGGCCCTGCCAACCCTGACCATTCTGTGATTCTGTGATTTGTTCATATGAATTTACCACCTACTCTAATGGTTTCAGCCTTGCACATCTTAAGACAGCAATAGTCGCTTGGCCCAAAAGCTTAAATCTTGACTTCTTATTTTACACTGGAATCTGTCACTGCATCAGGAGAGGATGCAGGGCCGGAATCAGATGTTCACAGTAAGTTGAAAAGCTCTTAAATACGCATGGATGTGGTTCCTCTAGGCAGAAATTACTGTAACTGGGGCTCTGGGGCAGATTATGTTGGATATTTTTAGTGCTTTAAAGATAATCTTCATTATGAAGACTTCCCTGTGGTATCAGTATTTTATGTGCTGCGATATAAAGAATTAGGTAGATGAAAAATCCATTTTTCAGTTTTATGTAGACTTTTTAATGCGAGACCAAAAGGTTCATGGAAGGAGAGCGCGTTACCTGTATACTTACGAAATTCTGCTCTGCCCTCACATATCATCTTACCTAAACATTCATAGTGATGAACATGTCAGAATTCCAGACCCGCAGAAGATCCAAAAGACCAAGGTCATTCTGCTCAGCCCACCAGGGGCTGCGGTGTTCTGTCAGAAGTGCAGGGGATGGGGCTGTAAGTGCAGCAGAGAGCTGCGGTTCGCTTAACGGAGGCCGTGAGAAGTCCAAGGTGACCAAATTAGCCACCGGCACTGAATTCGAAGGTTCAATAAATAATTTAAGAACCTGGTAACGTACTGTTTCCCACGAGTGACGGGGCTCTTGACTGTTAGTTTCTGGTGTCACAGTGCTTTTCACACTGTGGGGTTTGTCCTCTCCATAGTTTTTCACAAGTAGGAAGGATTAAGACTAATTGGTAACAGCATTGCGAGCTCTTTCCTGTAAACAGGTGACCTCCAGTGTGTTTCAGAATAATCAAAACTGTTCTAGAAAAGGATCTATTCATAATGCCTGTCATTCAGGCTTACTACTTGGTGTAAGCAAATCATTAAAAGGCTCAGGAAAATGTAAAAATCAGAGCTGTCACTTATTGTAGCACAAGATGCTCTACTCTGCCGAAAAAACGAAATTTACAGCCTTGTGCTTTTCATTCCAAGTATTTTGAAGGCAAACAAATTGTTCTTTTGGAGTAATTGGTATCCATAATGTTTTTGGGTTTTTTTTTCACGTTTTACTGTAATACTTTATAGCTGAAATTATAAGAGAAAAGGTTAGCTTAATATAAAATATCTCTAACAAAACATCTTCCTGAATTCATTTGCTTTGTTTCCTTGTACATTCTTGTGTACGTTTTGTTGTCTGGTTTTGATGGAACTTTGTACCAAGGTTTGTATCGTGTCTCCTGGAGGGCAGTTCACATGTGAAGTGCCTCAACTTCACTGAAAGAAGAGCATTTTCTGAATAGTGAGTTGCATTGTCTGAGGAATTCATGAAGCAATCCGAAGACCTAAACAGAAAAGGGCAAACCAGTGTGAAGTCTGTTCCTGAGGTTTCTCGTGGACTTGGGTTCAGAGTAATCCAGCACTTCGAAATCAAAACGGATTTTTGAAAGCAGATGAAATGAGTAAAACTAGATTTGTAAGTAACAGAATAACCTAGTATTTGGGGGTAGCTTTGCTCCAGTGTGTCAGTAAACTCTGCCTGTACTGCTGAGCAGTCTCGGTGCAAACAGTGCTGCTCACTGGCGTTGCCTTTGGCCAGTGCTTCGCGGTGGGGGCCAGCTTCAGCCCTCTGCGCTGGTGGGACAGGCGTTTGTGCGCTGTCCTGTATTGCACGGATCTTTGTGTTCTTCAGATCTCCGCTCCCTGGGAGGGATTCTCTTTTCAAAGGCAGAGGGCTAGTGTCTGTGATCGTCTGAGCAGCTGATGTTCTGAAGTCCTGAACTGATTTAATCAGGGGCCTCATATTTAACATTAGTTAATTGGGAGCCAGCTTCTAACTAAAATTTTGTTTCTATTTTCTTCTCTTTTAGAATGCAGCGAGACAGTTCTTAGATGAAGAAGCTGAGCTGTCCCAGCAAGATGCGGATGGTGTTTCCACTGACGAGAGCGATGGTGCAGAGGATGAGCTGAACTCTTCACTTGCCCAGTTCCTGAACGATGACGCGGAGGTCACGCAAGTGTTAAATGGTGAAGGAGGAGACTTGTGTATGATTTTCAGATACGGGGTGTTGCTTAGCAAGTGGTGTATGAGGGGCATGGCCATTGGTCAGCTGACAGTGTCAGCTAATAAGCAGTACCTTTGGCAGCTGTGGTGAAGCAGGTGCTTTCCGTTACCTGGTCACTCCTTTTGGTTTGTTTATTCACATGGGGTTCTTGTGTGGTGGGTTCCTCGCTGGAGTCTCTACCACGTGACAGCTTTGGGCGGGCTGGAGTCAGTTCTTCGGGGACTGTGGGGGTAGGAGATCGCCTCTTGCTGAGAGTCAGCTACCCCCTCGTACACCATTATGCCTGAGCAGAAACACAATTTTCCATGTCATTTAGAAATTCCTGAATCTTTCAGGTCTTCTGTTACAGAGAGACCTAAAATATGTTATAACAATATGAATGTTAAAGGTAAAATTACAGTGTTGACACTGACAGAGCTGAGAAGGTAGTGCTGTTTTTTGGCTGAGATGCTTTACTTACCCCTGGGCTTCTGAACCTTGTCTTTCCCTGGGATGTTTGCGTGATGGAATCATCCTGCTACTGCTTAAGATTCCCAGATGTTGCTGAGGATTTTTCTCCTCCACTGAAATTGTGAGTTGTTCCCTGTAAGATTCTGTGTGGGCTTCAGTAACCCACCCCTTTCCCACACAGCCTCTGAAATCAGTCGCTGTGTCTGTTTTGGGAGAGATTGGCAGCAGAGAAAGCTGAGCGATTCGGGTTCGCTGTGGTTAACGTTGCCCTTTTCCCTGCCACGGGCATCCACCGCGCTGCCTGCTGAGCCAGCCTCCTACGTGGCAGCTTTCCTGACGGCAAGCTGGGGAGGCCTAGGCCTTTGCTTCTGGGGTTTTCAGAGAGGTCTGGAGAATTTATGTCAGCATGGATTCACCAAGGGGAAATCATGCCTGACCAATCTGATAGCTTTCTACGATGACATGACTGGCTGGGTAGACGAAGGGAGAGCTGTGGATGTTATCTACCTTGACTTCAGCAAGGCTTTCGACACAGTCTCCCATAATATCCTCCTAGGGAAGCTGAGGAAGTGTGGGCTGGATGAGTGGTCGGTGGGGTGGATAGAGAACTGGCTGAATGGCAGAACTCAGAGGGTTGTCATCAGCGGCGCTGAGTCTAGTTGGAGGCTGGTGACAAGTGGTGTCCCTCAGGGGTCAGTACTGGGCCCAGTCTTGTTTAACTTCTTCATCAACGACCTGGATGAAGAGTTAGAATGTACCCTCAGCAAGTTTGCTGACGACACCAAACTGGGAGGTGTGGTAGATACACCAGAAGGCTGTGCTGCCATTCAGCGTGACCTGGATAGGCTGGAAAGCTGGGCAGAGAGGAACCTGATGAGGTTCAACAAGGGCAAGTGCAGGGTCCTGCACCTGGGGAGGAACAACCTCATGCACCAGTACAGGCTTGGGGTGGACCTGCTGGAGAGCAGAGAGGGACCTGGGTGTCCTGGTGGACGACAGGTTAACCATGAGCCAGCAGTGTGCCCTGGCTGCCAAGAAAGCCAATGGGATCCTGGGGTGCATCAAGAAGAGTGTGGCCAGCAGGACAAGGGAGGTTCTCCTTCCCCTCTACACTGCCCTAGTGAGGCCTCATCTGGAGTACT